CTGATCCAACTAATATAGCTAGGAATTAGGTGCCATAGAAAAGGTAACTACAGAAAAAAACTTTGCGGCCCGACCTTTACTAAAACTTTATAACTCCGTGAACTTACCTAATTTTAGGCAATCTCCAAGTTTTGCCGCCATTTTGAGGGACTTGTCAACACGAAGCGTAGCAGATATAAATCGAGCAGGTAGATCTAAAACCGTCAGAAATACATACGAAAGCATTCAAATGAACTGCACTTTCAATTCAAGGGGCAAAATTTGAAATTGTTCGTTAAACCTACCATTCCTGCATCCCCATGCGACCATTTCTTCCAACAATTCAAACACTACAACTAGCGGTCGAATTTCCCTCGTCGATTCCACCGTAGGAAATAACCTGTGACACCCAAGCTTCGACTCGAATGTGAAGTACGAATCAAACAACATAACTGCTTCATCTTCGAGGCCATATCACGCTGGTATTTTGATTTTCTGATCGACAAGAACGGTGATCAGGAAGTGATCGCCATGTTTACCTCATAAACGTGACCGCTGACCAGCCGCTGAGTGAAAACAGTACGGCGCGGGGTGGTGTGGGTGGCGGACTTATCATCATAAGATACTCGAACACATGCTAACAAAGCTTTAGGACTCTCAGTCTAAACAGTGAAGGCATGCTTCGTGGTACAGACAACTTTTATTTTATTCTCATAACTTTTTCCTTTAAATTAGAACTGGTGTTAAATAATAGAGTTATTTAAATATTTTTAACCGAGGTACCCATATGATCTTTTTGCTTGTACTCAGTGGTATAAAATAAGGTGTCTTTGCTTGCAGAACTTTTTATTTATGCGTTATTGCACGGAATGAATACTGTACTTAGAAGGTTTGTTCTAAATCATTTTTGCTGTTCCCAAGAATGTATGCAAAATCATTGCTTTATACAAAGCTGACTCTAAAATATTATTTTCCGTAACAGTAACCAATGTCATTTACGTAAGGTGTTAATAAAACTAGCAATGTACAATTTTTAGCGTTTTTCGCTTATAAGCCTGACATACAATTGTCAAGTGAACTATGTTAGTTTCAGCTCATTTCTTGATTTGATGTGACCTTTTATCACTAAACCCCATTGTTTTCATTTGCAATTTTCCTGTACTTTTATTTTCATACGACAACGACCTGGAGTTTTATAAGTAAACTGATTTTTTGGTATACCACGCTTATTACATTGTATATACAAATACATGCAAAAGGCCGGCTAAATAAGCTCCTCCCCCTGCTCCTACTTTTTTGGGTTGCCTTCGCCCCATGCCTCTGCACGACTCCCATGTAAATGGGAGCTCGAAGAAAGTACAGATTTCCTTAAGCATGGAAACAGCAAAATAGTTCAATTTTTCCTCCTTGACGTAGTCACACAAGTCATAAATGTCATAGACAATCGGATGCGTTAAGCCAATTTCTGTTACAACTGATTCGACAGTGGTCATGTGATTCACTTCTTCCTCGTCAATTAATTCCTCGTCAGATTTATCGTCAACCGCGGTGCTTGGAGACGAACCTGCCCGTCTCCATCTGGAGGAGGACAAACGGAAGTAAAATCCTTGTAGTCTTCCTTGTATTTGGGCTTTGGTTCGCCACACTTCCCGGGAAAACAGGCGCTCCCCGTTTTCCCCCTTCGCTTTCCTCATAGCTTGCGAGACTTGTCGCAGATCCTCTTTCCTTCCAGGTTGCTCACCAAAATCAAACTTGGAGGTGAGATACTGCCTTACTTTCTCTTAGAAGCGAACAGCGCCACCCTTTGGCTTATGAAGTGCCCATCCTTCACTTAAATTCTACTGGAAAGGTTCGCTACCCTGTCTCTCGATAACATTGGTACTGTCGTCTTCTGAAAGGGTAAGGGGTTAGAATTTTTCAACCCAGCTTAAATCTAGAGATTTCAAAGCTGTTCTAATGTCAAAAATA